TTTACGAATTCGCAGTATCTACGTTTATCCATTTGCGCACACCGGTCAAAAATGGGTTTAAAAATACGTATACGTTTATTTTTGTTCGCAACTCTTCGAATACGCAATTTAACGTATATTGTCAAAAATTGACCCCCTGTTCACAATCCGATGTCCACAGGTGCAGGTAAATTTATCACCATAGGCGCAACTAGGGAAATGCTTGGGGGTGCTAAGCACCCCTAAATCAAAAATTAGCACTCCTATTCGGCATCCCACCATAGCACTACCTAACACTTATATAAAAAATTAGTGCAACCAAATTATTTTATGTATTTTTTTGCACTTTTTGTACTTACTTACGTCATCGATGACGTCATAATTTAGAAAAAAGTATTTCTCGTTGATTAATTCATAGAGCACGTTCGCAATTATTATTGTTAAAATCAAGACTTACCTTAAAATATATGGTTTTTATCTTATATTAACATTTAGGATGACGTCATCGAACAAGGTCAGACAATGTTGTCAATGTCTATGTTTTTCTATATCTTAAGGTGACATTGAAATACCGACTTAAAAAATCATTGGAGTCCCAAATATATAAATTAATTAACTGCGTATTATACAGGGTGTTCTTAAATATCATGTACAAACAACAAAGGGTGATTCTTTTTTTTTACGACTGAAATTTCAAATATCTTCTAAAAAATTGACTTATTTAAGCAATTAAAAAAAAATCACCCTCTTACATTTTAATTTTTTTCTAGAAAACTTGCAAAGAGAAAATTTTGAAAATTTTCCAGGAATAAGAGGAAAATGAGGAGCTCATTTAACGAAAATTTCAAAATTTTTCAGTAAAAAATTTTGAAAAACTTACTTTTCAGCAAAATTAAGGAGAATTCATCCTCTACATTTTAATTTTTTTCTAGAAATCTGGCAAAGGGAAAATTATGAAATGTTTCCAGAAGTAAAAGAAAAGTGAGGAGCACATTATAGAAAAATTTCAAAATTTTCCAGTCAAAAATCACTCCAGGAAAAATTGTGGGAAATTGACTTTTTTAGGCAAAATTCACCCTCTTACAACTGGGAAACTGGCAAGAAAATTGTGAAAATTTTCCAGAAAAAGAAAAAAATAAAGAGCTCATTGTAGCAAATTTTCTAATTTTCGAAGACTCGTAATTTCCGTAATTTTTCTTTAGAAATTTTTTAATTCCTGTCATCTCTCAAATAATTCTTATAATTTTTTTATTAATTCCTGTTATTCTTCAAATTTTCGTAATTTTTTAATTCCCGTAGTTTCTCAAAAAATTCCGTTATTTTTTAATTCCACGTTTTTGTATATTTCAAAAATTAGTAGGTAATTCCCGTAATTTCCGTATTTTTTCTGGGCATTTTTCAAAATCATTTCCCGAAAGCCTTTGTGATTTCTAATTCTTGTAATTCCCGTAACTTTTCCGTAATCCCTGTAATTTTTATAGTTTTCGTAATTTTCAATTGTCGTAATTTTTTAAATTTCTTGGACCTTTTTTGAAATTTAATAATTTCCCGGTCTTTATAATTTTTGTAATTGTAATTCCTGATTTTTGTAATTTTTGTTATTTTCTAACTTTTTGAGAATCATCATAGGTTTTTTCGATTTTTGCAATTTGTTAATAAATTTCCGTAATTTATTTCCAGAATTTTCGTAACTTTTGTAACTTTTCTAATTTCCATAATTTTTTAAAAATTTAATTATTTTCCGTAGTCCCGAAAGTTTTTGTAATTTCTGCAATTTTTGCTATTCTCGTAATTTTCGTTAATTAACAAATTCCTTAATTTTTTTGTTATTTCCGATATTTTTATTTTTTCAATTTTTCGTAATTTCCGTAATTTTTGCAATTCCTATAATTATTCTAATTGTCCTAATTTTTTTAATGATTTTCCTAATTTCCGTAATTTTTTATGATTTTCGTGATTTCTGTTATTTTTTTAATTCCCGTAATTTCTTTATTTTATTTTTCAATAATGATAATTCCCGTAAGTTTTTGAAATTTCCGTTATTTTTGAAATTCTCGTGATTTTTATTATTTTTTTGTAAAACGTAATTTCCAATAATTTTTTGCAATTCTACGTAATTTTTGAAATTCGCGTAATATTTTCCAATAATTTTCATTGTTTTCCGTAATACTCGATTTTTTTCTAATTTTATAATTCTTCTCTCAATTTTTTCAATAATTAATGTAATTTCCATGATTTTTTGAAATTTTTGTGATTTTTGTTAATATTTTTCCATATTATAATTTTCCAATAATTTTCGTAATTTTACATAATTTTTGAAAGGACACATCTTATGGGTTTTTGGTTTTCTGTCAAACTCAATGAAATTTTGATATGTGGTATGTATATGTTCTGTTTTGATTCAAAATAATATTTTTAATCAATCACATTTAACTCTCTTCTTTTTTTGGCTCACTGTGTATCATTATTCATAAATTCAAGTCTAATAGTTTTGAGGCCTTTGAAGGAATATCGCGCGTGTGCGGTGAAAAAGGACAAAAAAACTACTTTGGTGCCAGCAAAAATATTGCTATTAGCCGCAGAGAGAATAAGAACGAACGTCAACCAAACGACATTGTTTTTCCAAAAACTTTTAATAGAGAACCCGCATTTAATTTTTAATAGTTTACCCGCATAAATTTATAGAGAACCCGCAACTAAGTATTTAATTTGCCGAGTTTCACGGTTTTGAAACAGAACTAAAAAACGCGTCGACTGGCCGGTCCGGAAAACGTATGTGTGTGTGTGTGTGAAAAAGGTGTCCGTGGACACCTCTACATGGAAGCCAGAAGTTCAAGGTAAGGTCTCAAAACCTCCATTTTATTTACATTAAAATATTTGATACAGTCCACTTATCTCACACTGAGCCTTGAAATAGTATATTTTTTTTTGTTTAAAAACTTTGAAAAGTCCAAATTTTATTAAAGATTACACAGTATATCTTCACTCACTGATAAAAAGTTCTCATGGGCCCAACCTGATACTATGATTAGTTTCCGAAATATAGGTGGTTTAATGTTCAAGAAATGTACACATTTTATATGCATTCACATCTATCTGTCACCTATTATTAGGTCTGTCAGAGTGAATTTCATTGGTTGTAACTAGTTTTCTGACTGTTTTCGACCAATCAAATTCGCTCTGACAAGTTTGTGATTTTTGCAGAAACAGACCTATTATTAGGTGACAGGTAGATGTGAATATACATATAAATTGTACATAAAAGTACCTGTATCTCAAAAACTAATCATAGGATTGGTTCGGGCCCTTGAGAACTTTTTATCTGGAAGTCAAGGTCTAACACATATCAAAATTTCATTGAGTTTGACAGAAAACCAAAAACCCATAAGATGTGTGCGGGGTCCTTTCTATGATTTTTTTTCGTAATTTTATAATTCTCCTAATTTTTCAATAATTGTAATTTCCGTATTTTTTGAAATTTCCGTGATTTTTTGTAATATTCGTTATTTTTCATTTTTATAATTCCTGTAATTTACGTAATTTATCAATGACTTTTGTAGTTCTACGTAATATTTGAAATTGCCAATAATTTCCATTGCTTTTGTAATACTCAAATTTTATAATTCTGCTTTTTAGTTTTTAATAATGGTGGTTTCCGTAACTTTTTAAATTTTCCGTAATTTTTGCAATTCTCGTAATTTTTGTTACTTTTCCGTTATACGTTATTTTGCAATGTTTTCGAAATTTTAATAATTTTTGAAGTTCCCGTGATTTTTTTCGTAATTTTATAATTCTCCTAATTTTTTTCAAATTTAATTTTCGCAATTTACCCATGATTTTTGCAGTTCTACATAATTTTTGAAATTCCCGTGATTTTTGTAATCCTCGTGATTTTTGTAATTTTTTCGTAATTTCCGTAATTTGCTAATATTTTTGCAATTTCACGTAGTTTTTGAAATTCCTGTAATTTTTTAAAATAATTTACATTACATAAGTATTTCCATTCCCGGTTTTTTTCGTAATTTTGCAATTCTCATTTTAATTTTTCAATAATTTTAAGTGCTGTAATTTTTTCAAATTTTCATGATATTTGCAATTTTAATGATTTTTGTTATTTTTTTGTAGTTTCCGTATTTTATGTAATTTTTCAATTTTTTTAATTTTCATTGCTTTTGTAATATGTATCCGATTTTTTTGTAATTTTTTAATTTTCCTCTTAGTTTTTTAATAATCAATGTATTTCCCGTGATTTTTCAAAATTCCCGTGATTTTTGCAATTTTTCCGATTTTTTTCATTTTTTCGCGATCCCTGTAATTTTTGAAATTTCTATAATTTTTTAATTTATTTTTATTAATTCTATATTTTCCGTAATTTTTTAATGGAATTTTTATAATTTTCCTAATTTTTGTGATTTCCGTAATTTTTTGAGGAATCTTCGCAAATTCGGTAATTTTTCGATTTTTTCGTAGTTTCTAATATTTTTCAATTTTTGTAATTCTTTAATAAATTATTTTCGTATTTTTTTAATTCTTTTAATTTTTATAATTCTCATAATTTTTTAAAAATCTAATAACTTTTTGTAGTTTTGAAATTTTTGTAATTTCTGCTAATTTCAATTTTTGTAATTTTTTTAAAATTTTCCGAAATTTTTGCAATTCTTATATTTTTCAAATTATCAATTCAAAACTATAGGAATTATATACATAATTCAAAATTTCAAAAAATATTCTGAAATTACAAAAAAATAGGGGAATTACAGGAATTATTCCAAAATTACAGGAATTATTTGTAAATTACGGAAATTTTCTCAATATTACAAAAAATTACAGAATCTACGAAAAATGGAAATTATGAAAAATTACATGAATAACGAAAAATTACGAGAATTATGGACATTACGAAAAACTATGAAAATTATAGAAATTATTGCAAAAATTTTGAAATTTTCAAATGAAAAATCACTCCATAAAAAATTATTGAAAATTGACTTATTTAAGCAAAATTAAGGAAAATTCACTTCTTACATTTTAATTTTTTTTTGGAAAACTGGCAGAGGGAAAATTTTCAATTTTGAAAATTTTCCAAGAAAAAGAGGAAAGTGAGCAGCTCATTATAGGAAAATTTCGAAATTTTTCAGTGAGAAATCACTCTAGGGAAAATTCTGGAAAATGACTTTTTCAAGTAAAATTAAGGAAAATTCATCCTCTCACATTTCAATTGTTTCCTAGAAAATTGGCAAAAGAGGAAAAAGAGGAAAGTTAGGAGCTCATTATAAGAAAATTTCAAAATTTTCCAATGGAAAATCGCTCCAGGAAAAGTTCTGAAAAAATGATTTTTTCAAGTAAAATTAAGAAAAACTCATCCTCTCACATTTTAATTTATTTCTGGAAAACTAATAAAGCAAAACTTGTGAAATTTTTCCAGAAGAAAGAAGAAAATGAGGAGTTCATTATAGGAAATTTTCAAAATTTTCTAGTGAAAAATCACTCTAAGGAAAGTCGATAGGAAAGTTTTGGAAATTGACTTTTCTAAGCAAAATTCATCCTTTCACATTTAAATTTTTTTTTGGAAAACTGCTAAAGGGAAAATTTTGAAAATTTTTCAGGATAAAGAGAAAAGTGAGGAGCTCATTATAGGGAAATTTCGAAATTTTCCAGTGAAAAATCACTCCAGGAAAAATTCAAAGAAAATTGACTTATTTAGGTAAAATTAAGGAAAAATCATTGAGGTAGAATAATAAAGAGGCGACATAAGGAGAAAAAAGCGTATCCCACTTCCGCCATATTGTTACGACACTTCTGTCTGAGATTCTGTCACTTTTGTCATAGCAACGCGTCAAAATTGCATCAGGGACGCATTTTCCATCCGAAAATTTTTTAAATGCGAAAAATTTTTGAAGCCTAGAATTCCTATTTTGGGTCTTGGAAGGATCTCCTGTTTCAGTATGTTGAAGTTTCTGTAGCTACTTTTTTTTTCTTGGTGTAATCTCGATTTTTTTATGTTTTTTTTTTGCAGTTTCGCTATGGAGCTCACGGGCCCCTCTCGGGCCCGGGCCTGTATGCTTCGCACACATGGCACACAGGCAGATACGCCACTGGGCCTTACCAAGGCTGCAGTCAGTTGCAGAGCCTCGCACTCAGCTTAGCCCACAAGCTGCGCCATTCTATCCGGCTGCATGCCTGCAGCCACCGCCAGGTAGACTGCCATTAGATAGATAGACCAAGGACTATTATAAGCAAAGAAGAGGATGATGGATAATTAAATGGAAGAATAATAATAAGCCCAATATTTTTGTCTTCAAGTATAATTCAATATGAAAATTTATTAATATAAAAAATAAATACAGAAATAACTAAATGGCACACAATCAACATACGAGATTCTCACCAATAATTAACAAAATCAATCATCCAGACACATTTTTCTTGGCACCATTATAAAACGAATTGAAATTCAACCTAGAAAAAAAACCCAATATCAAAACTTCAATCGCAAATTACTCACGCACATAATCTCACCGAAAACCATTAATTTGCGTTTAAAACAAATACCAAAAGAATCTTGGAAACTGGAAAGGAATGGAAGGGACTACACAAACAATTTTAGGTTCAAATGATTGCTTACCTGTACAATAAATTGAATAATCGGTCGTGCTCGCTTGTGTCTCGGTTCAGATCGTTGATTTGAGTCAGCAGCTTGAGGATCGAGCTCAGAAATTTTCCTTCAAATGTATCAATGTGGCTTTTGAAGCTCATATTGTCTGTAGTACTTGTTGAAGATTGAAGGGCGAAATCGTTCTAGAAAGAAATTTTGTAATAATTGAGTAATTTGAAAAAGCAGTACATGAGCTGGGTTCGGCTATTCAGCGCGGAATGAACAGAGCTAATAAAGTCACCCCTAATATGGTAAAAAAATACCCGAACGGCTGGAGTGCGAATGGAGTCACTCGGAGTGCACGGAGTGAACAAGCCGAACCCACCTATGATGGTTATTTTGTGTGATGTTATATAAGGCATTTTCTCGCGGGGCAAATAGTTCGAACTGCGGTTTAAACCAATTTGTAGATGACGTCACTGGTTCAACACAAGAGTATACAGGTTGGAACCTAATCGGACTGGATTGAACCAGTTCCACCGCGAAAACACAACTCAAATCTGTTCTAAAAATTGATCGAAAACTTGTTCCGAACTCGTTTACTGTAAAATGAAGCCTAGAACTAGATCACAATAAAAAAAAATCTGAATCCGTGTCCTAGAACACATGGAACTTACTCTATTTTCTGTTCCTCATTCAATTAGAACCAGTTCTAAACTATATAGAGTTCAACTAGAATCAGCTTCAAAACCTTTCTTTGTGTTCTAAAGACCTGTTCCATATTAGTTCACGATCAAAAAAATTTAATATAAGTGCAGTGGAACACATCGAATTTACTCTTTTTTATTTGTAGTTCATTTAGAACCGTTTCTAGATCAATTGACCTTTTGTTTCGTCGCCATATTGCGGTGCGCGAATATAGTTGCCAAAACAAGAAAACCAAAAACTATTAGCGGGCTGTCAACTAGATATTTTATTATTTCTATTCTGCCCAATACAAAATTGATGGCTTTTCTTTCCAAAAACATTCGTAATAGGCGGCAAATTTAAATTTTAAATGTAATTTATTCACTAACTTTGGATTTTCAAGTTGACAGAACGCTAGTAACTTTTTTCTCTACTGTTGGCAACTATGTTCGCGCACCGCAATATGGCGTCCAAACAAAAGGTCAATTCTGAACTTATTTTAATTAGGAATAGGCTTGTTCGGACCTAATTCAGAATCAGTTCTGAATTGAACTGCGTTTACGCATTTATTCATATCGATTCTGAACAGACTCATTATTGTTGCGTTGTTCCGAACACAATGAATTGTTCGCAAATCATTTAGAACCGATTCCAGATGTGTTTTGAATTGGTTCTTAGAGTTCCAAGTGGTTCGATTGCTGTTCTGAACTAGAGAAAATCATAAACTGGTTTATTATTACATATACGCAAACAGTGCACAATGATGTCCCAGAACCATTAAACTTATACTATAATTCATTGGTTCCAGAGCATTTCTGAGCTGGTTTTTAGAGTTCCGAGTGGTTCCAAACTAGAAAAAATTTAGAACTAAATTATTATTAAACGTCGACACGAGTATCCTAAATCACATTAACAATTCATTTAGAACCAGTTTCAGATCATTTTAGAATTGACTTTTAAAATTCCGATTGCTACAATTGCTGTTCCGGATTCAAAATAAACTAAACTGAATTGTATTGAAGCACATTGATTGTTCGTAATGGCAGCAAATGTCAAGTTCCATAAAATTTTGTAGAGGGCGCGAGTGAACTTGGCGGTAAATGTCAATAGATTTAAACCGTTCTAATGAGTAGAAGAAAAGATGACTATGAACAGTGAATGAGTTGAAATATCTTCCAAAACGTCAGCTTGTCTTCAAACCGTACAGAAGCGCCCTCTTCAACTCAACTGTCAATATTACATGCCATTCAATTAAAACTGGTTCCGAATAGATTTTAAAGTCTGATTTACAATGAACAATCTTTATTTGTGTCCCAGATCATTGAATTTACTGTTTTATGTTTGCAGTTCGCGGTGTAACTAGAATCAGTTCCAAATCGGTTTTATTTGTTCTTAAACCCAATAACCTGTTCCGAACTCGTTTGCCTTTATACTCTTCAATATTCGAACTCACTCTATTTACTTCAAAGGAGTGAAAAAATACAATCTTGGATTTGCTTACTCAGAGTACTCCACATATGACAAATAAAGTAATTAGAAAGTTCTCGTGCCTCAGACGCTACGCTAATACGGTACCGCTAACAATACGGTATAATTTTTTTCCGGCCTCAAAATGCGTCATAGCAAGCAGGGTCCCATAAGCTTTTTAACGTTTTTTTTGCTCCTGTATCTGGTTTTTTTCATTTTTTTTGGAAATTCGGAAAAAAAAATCAAAATCAAGAAAGATGGGGAGGCTAACTTTTTTCTGGTACATCGGAAAAAACTGAAACTTGGAATATCGACTAAAAATCACATTTTGAATATTGTCGATTTTTGATTGGCTCCAAATTATCAGCTGATCAATAGAGTTATAGACTGGACCCCATGATTAAAATAACTCTAGCCCTTCGGGCTCGCGTATAACTCCGGCCCTTCGGGCTCGCGTATAACTCCGGTCCTTCTCGGGCTCGCGTATAACTCCGGCCCTTCGGGCTCGCGTATAACTCCGGCCCTTCGGGCTCGCGTATAACTCCGGCCCTTCGGGCTCGCGTATAACTCCGGCCCTTCGGGCTCGCGTATAACTCCGGCCCTTCGGGCTCGCGTATAACTCCGGCCCTTCGGGCTCGCGTATAACTCCGGCCCTTCGGGCTCGCGTATAACTCCGGCCCTTCGGGCTCGCGTATAACTCCGGCCCTTCGGGCTCGCGTATAACTCCGGCCCTTCGGGCTCGCGTATAACTCCGGCCCTTCGGGCTCGCGTATAACTCCGGCCCTTCGGGCTCGCGTATAACTCCGGCCCTTCGGGCTCGCGTATAACTCCGGCCCTTCGGGCTCGCGTATAACTCCGGCCCTTCGGGCTCGCGTATAACTCCGGCCCTTCCCGGCCCGAAGGGCCGGAGTTACACGGAATCAGGAATAAAAAACTGAAATTGAATTTTCAATTTTTTGAAGGAGGCTTAGCCTCCCCTGCCTCCTCTGACGAGCCGCCACTGATCTTCAATATCAAGTATAATTATCTCCTACTGTTGGCAATACAATGTAAAATTGTCAATGCTTTCAAACTTTTTATGTAGGAAAGGCAACGGACTTTAAATACAACTTTCTAATGAATAACTTACTCTATTTACTCTAAAACAGTAGTACGAGTAAACGAGAGTTAAATTTAGTGCACTAAAACGAGAATCTCAAACCAAATGGAGTAACTGTTAACATTGCCCTATTAGTTTCCAACATAAAAAAAAACCTTCACTAGATCCAGAATTAGTGTTCTAGAGGCACAATAAGCAGAATTTGAGTTAAAAATGTCGATTGAAACGAAATCACTTCTTCAAAGTACGCAAACATAACCTACAAAATCCTAAAATGCCGGTAATGCAGACACCTACAACGATAAATAAAATTCTATTTTAGTTAAGTCACTTTTGAAATAAAATTTTTTCAAAGGCGTTTTTTCGCGGGGCGAATAATTTAAATTACGGTTTAAACCAAAAACCCTTTTCACGTGACTCCAGTTTAACAAACCGCAACATACCGCTCAAATTCGAGTGGTAGGCATCCATCACGTCACTTTGTAACCAGGTTAGAAAACGTGTTATTTCTCTAACCGTTTTGTAACCCGGTTAGTTAAACCGGAGATCTCTGAGTTTAAACCACTTTGTAGATGACGTCATCATTGGTAAACGCTAGAAAATGGAAGGTTTGAACACAGTCTTATGTCAACGGATAACAAGCCAAAGATTGCAGTTTGAACATTTTTGAACCAGGTTCAATGTAACGTCACTGGTTCAACGCAAGAATGTACAGGTTCGAACCAAATTGAACCAGTTCCACCGCGAGAAAACAGCTATAGATTGCTTGATGAGTTATTTCTTGCTTTCTCAAAAATAGTCGCTTTTGATTTTTGAGCTGGAGAACATAACTACACTCTAATGATAAGCCAGATGATTATAACATGCAAATTTACAAAGGTACCTGCGTGAATGATTCGTAGAGCGAATTCGGCAAAGAACCCAACTCGGCTTCAACGAAATACCGCTCCATCCGCTGCATTTATAAGTGCAAATAATTGTTTAAAATACTCTCAAAAAAATATTCAAGTTCTCACCTGCATGAATTTGCAAAATTCTACGCAAATGTTTAAAATGTTCACGATGGTTCCGAGTATTACGGGCATTGTTAACATGCAATCTTTGAGGCAGCTGTCCAGAAAGTCCTTGTGGCATTCGAGGATTTCGTCGATGTTGTGCACCTAGAATGAGAGTAACTAGGACACTTTGTATATAAAATGGAAACTTTCTATCAATCATAGGGCTTGATAAGCTTTCTGGTATTTAGAATCAAACATTTTTGTTAGAGCAAAATTATGGCTAATATGAAAATTGATAAAGATAAAATTCAGTAAAAAATTGAAAAGTCTAATAACTATTATGATTGGTATTGACAAAAATTCCAGTCACATTCAAGCAAACAACAAATTTCACAAACAATTACCTTATGTATTTTCTGCATAAACGTATTCCAATGAGGCTCGATAACTTCGACCATCATGTGATACTCCAAATTCTGTACGCAGTGCAGCATTTTTTGACGCAGCACGAACGCCGCCCTGTAATGCTTAGCATCCTCGCAATGGAACTTTTTGGCCACCTTATTCGATTTCCACACTTGACACAGCAAACGTTCCACATACTTCGAATAAAACAAGTGCCGGAAAAGCATTTGATAACAAACCATCGATTTTTTGTTGAGTATTAATGACAATGGCCATCGCACTTCGTAGACAAATGTAAAGGATTCTATTGCAGTGAGGGTTTTTGGGTCGATGTGTAAAGAAAAATCTTGTTCTGATGTTGTTTTGATGCTTAAAATCCTATACATTTGGTAGAGGAGGTTGTAAGGCAGTAGCTCGGTTTTGAGGTCTTCTTTGTAGGGATCGTTGGCTGCACTGGTGAGTCTTAAAGCTAAATCCATTAGAGCTTCTAGGCGGCCTTGCATTACGTCAACAGTAGGTTTGTTGAATTCTTTTTCACATAAATTCAATAAGGTAACTATAAAGTCCCCTTTGTCTAAGAGAAAATAATATTTGACTGACTTTAGTCGTTTGATGAGGTCTTGTTCTTTCATTACTAAATCTAGCAGGGTTCTACTTGCATTGGTATAAGCCTTATGGATGGCTTCAATATAATGTATTTTTTCGATTTTGTATTCTATTGGTTGTATTTTGTTTTTGATTAGTTTGCCGCACTGTCTTATGACGTTTAAATATTTGCCTGCTTTTAAAATATCGTCTGATACAGACTCGAGGAATTTTGGTATGCGTTCGCGTCTTATCCAGTATTTTTTGTCCCAATAATCGGCCGAATAGTCGGCGGGCATTTCTTCTTTTTGCACCACTTCGTTGTCTTCGACTAGAAACTAAAAAAAAAAAATTGAGATTGTGGTGATTTTCTATGGGAAATATTTACTTCATTAAAAGGGTCAGATATGATGCCCATGAAAATCCACATTTCTAGTATTCTCATGTAGGGGACGCAAGCGTCTTCCATCAGTTTGACACAGAGCTGTTGTTTTTGTTCATCGCCGCTAGAATTTATGACTTTGTCGTGTAGGAGGCTTAAAACTCTACCTCCAATGGCATCTGACTAAAATAATAAGACAATAATTGTCTGAATTCTGTTAAGACATTACTTACTTTACTTATAGCGTAAGCAATATCAGCAGCAACACCCAAACACTGCATATTCCTTTGACTGTAAAACCACATTTTCTGCAAAGTTAATCTACCTTCTCGGGCCTCAGTTTCCAGCTGAACCACAAACATCTAAAAAAATATTAATTAAATCCCCATCACTTTAAACTAAACTAAAATACTAACCATATGATCATTGACAACTGAGTGAAAAGCCTCAGCCAAAGCATTATTCACTTGTCCAAATTCAAACCTGGTTTTCTCCTCTGTGAAACGTTGAATCATTGAATAGTGACTGGCCAAAGGTAAAATTTGCCTCACTAATTCCTGTAAGGCTGCAGGCACGTGCGTATTGATCCTAAAGGTTCTCGGACCATAAGGATCAAGTAATTCTTCAGGTTCAATGTAGTTGCCTCCTACGCCCATAAGAATGTTTAATAAATCCTCAATTAGAATGTTTTCTTGGGAGATTTCTGGTACGGTTGCGTGGCTGCAGGACAGGCTTGTGGTGGAAAAGTCCAGGGACATGGAGGGCTTTCTTTGAACCCACGATAACATTGAAGGAGTTGAAGCTACTGCTAAGGAGGAAGAGAGGTTTACGATGCTGCTCAAATCTCCTTTGGGGGTTTGTTTTAGGGCTTCTTTTAGGACGTTTTTGATCTAAGTGTGAATAAATTTGTTTATTAAAATGATTGTTTATGTACTCAGCAAAAATACAACTTAAATATAGAGTACAAGCAATAAAAATGTCTATTATTAAGTAGGTACCTATGTACCAATAAAGAAAGAAATGGGATCCTAAGTCACAGAAGTCATTGTATATGGGCTATGGGAAAAATTCAAAAGGGTATAGGGAATAGATCAAGGTGTAGATTGATTGTTCCAAAAATTAAGAACATTATTTCTAGTAGAGATGTTTTAATTGGGATTTCGGGATTCCAGAAGGATTTCGGGATTTTGTAAGGATTTCGCTCTTCGTGATTTCGGGATTTCCAAAGAATTTCGAAATAATTTGATAGGATTTTGGATGAAAATGTACAGCGATTTCGGGAGTGAGCCGCCCCTCGAAGTGAAGACAACAGTGACTTTAAAGATGTACAAGTAGAAATTTAGGAAATAGCTGAAGTAGAGCCCTATTGTATTAAGAATTGGTAGAGAGGTACATAAATCTCAGTATCTTCAATATTATGAGATATATTTTACATATTTGAATTTTACAAAATCACAGGCGGATACTGGATTATTTTTAGAAGCTCTAAATGTCGAGATGCCATCAACAATGAGATGAAGTCTCTCAGAAAAGTTACGAACAGGTTTTGGATTTATTATTCTCAAACCACAAAGATGTCTCTGTTACGATTAGTGCCAGTCAATTATTGAAATTAGATGCTCCACATCCAGCATTTGAGTGCATTGTTTCTCCTAATAATTATTTTCAAGATAACTACTCTGACTATTTTTATCAAGGAGCAAACCACCTAGAAATTCTTTGCCAAAAATGTGGGGAATTTAGAGGAATTTGTGGGGACTTTGAAGGAACTCATCAGAGTTTATGAGAATTTGAGGAATTTGAGGGGAAATTTATAGGGAATTTGGAAGAATTTGTGAGGAATTTATGAGGAATTTAAAGGAAATTGTGGAGTCATGACGTCACTGAGGTTCACATTCTTATTATAAAAAAAAGTAATAAATGGGAATTTAAAAAAAATATCTATCTAGTTTTGTGTTGGACGTTGGATATTCATTTTTATTGAAGAAATTCTCCCAAAATTTCACTTCATGATTTACAGGTCCAAATTTAAAAAAGTCAGAAGAATAATGAATAATTTTTTGTAGGCTGATTTCCAAGATTTTTCATGTTCTTATTTTCCACTGAAAAAATTTGAAATTTGGGGAAAATGAGCTTCTAACCTTCCTCTTTACATGCAAAAAGTTTCAAATTTTTCCCTTCACTAGTTTTCCAGGAAAACTTTGAAATGTGTGAGACTGTATTTTCAGTTAATTCAGCTATTGAAGGTTGATTTCCAGGATTCTTCATGTAGAAATTTTCTACTGGAAAAATTTGAAATTCTGAGAAAATGAGCCTTTCTCGTTACATGCAAAAAGTTTCAAGTTTCTCCTTTCACTACTTTTCCAGGAAAACTTTGAAATGTGTGAGACTGTATTTTCAACTAATTCAGTTTTTGTAGGTTGATTTCCAAGATTTTTCATATTGCTGTTTTTCATTGGAAAAATTTGAAATTTTAGTAAAATTAGCTTCTCACCTTCCTCTTTAAATGCAAAAAGTTTCATAATTTTCCCTTCACTAGTTTTCCAGAAAAAATTTGAAATGTGTGAGACTGTATTTTCAATTAATTCAGTTTTTGTAAGTTGATTTCCAAGATTATTCATGTTGTTATTTTCCACTAGAAAAATTAGAAATTTTGGGAAAATGAGTTTTTCACCTTCCTCTTTACATGCAAAAAGTTTCAAAATTTTCTCTTCACTAGTTTTCCAGGAAAACTTTGAAGTGTGTGAGGCTGTATTTTCAATTAATTCAGTTTTTGTAAGTTGATTTCCAAGATTATTCATGTTGTTATTTTCCACTGAAAAAATTTGAAATTTTGGGAAAATGAGAGTCTCACCTTCCTCTTCGCATGCAAAAAGTTTCAAAATTTTCCCTTCACTAGTTTTCCAGGAAAACTTTGAAATATGTGAGACTGTATTTTCAATTAATTCAGTTATTGTAGGTTGATTTCCAAGATTCCTCAAGTTGTAATTTTCTACTTGAAAAATTTGAAATTCTGGGAAAATGAGCTTCTAACCTTCCTCTTTACATGCAAAAAGTTTCAAATTTCTCCTTTCACTATTTTTCTAGGAAAACTTTGAAATATATGAGATTGTATTTTCAACTGATTCAGTTTTTGTAGGTTGATTTCCAAGATTATTCATGTTATTATTTTCCACTGGAAAAATTTGAAATTCTGGGAAAATTAGCTTCTCACCTTTCTCTTCACATGCAAGAAGTTTCGAAACTTTCCCTTCACTATTTTTCCAGGAAAACTGAAATGTGTGAGACTCTATTTTCAACTAATTCAGTTTTTGTAGATTGATTTCTAAGATTTTTCATGTTGTTATTTTCCACTGGAAAAATTTGAAAATTTGGGAAATAGGTTTCTCACCTTCCTCTCTACATGTAAAAAGTTTCAAAATTTCCCCTTCTCAAGTTTTCCAGGAAAACTTTGAAATGTGTGAGACTGTATTTTCAACTAATTCAGTTTTTGTAGGTTGATTTCCAAGATTTTTCATGTTGTTATTTTCCATTGGAAAAATTTGAAATTTTGGGAACACGAGCTTCTCACCTTCCACTTTACATACAAACAGTTTCAAAATTTTCCCTTCACTAGTTTTCCAGGAAAACTTTGAGATGTCTGAGACTGTATTTTCAATTAATCCAATTATTATAGGTTGATTTCCAAGATTTTTCATGTTGTTATTTTCCACTGGAAAAATTTGAAATTTTGGGAAAATCAGTATCTGACATTCCTCTCACATGCAAAAAGTTTCAAAATTTTCCCTTAATTAGTTTTCCAGGAAAACTTTGAATTGTGTGAGACTGTATTAACCGAGGTATTAACAATTATTTCAGTTTTTGTAAGTTGATTTCCAAGATTTTTCATGTTGTTATTTTCCACTGGAAAAATTTGAAATTTTGGGAAAATGGGCTTCTCCCCTTCCTCTTTATATGCAATAAATTTCAAAATTTTCCCTTCGAGAGTTTTTCACGAAAACTTTGAATTGTGTGAGACGTACCATCATGATTGTTCGTAAAGCATGGGAGGTTTGTTCAAGCAACACGTCAAAAAAACCGTCCCATGAATGATTTATGAATAAGAAAAAGACCAACACAATAATCGCTTATGTTTTTCTAGATCCTAATTCAAATTGAAGAGCCGAGAATAATCAAAATTTTGAATTTTTTAACGGATCAAATCCAAGACATTGTGACATTGACATAATACAATTGAAAAACAATAAAATGACTGACAGAGATGTCTAAATGAATGGGCAACTTTGCCAGAAAGTATATCTATACAGGGTGTTCCAAAAAGATACCAACAAACTTTAAGGGGTAGTAGGGGACATCAAAACAAGCATTTTTGTTTATATAAACATATGTCCGCAAATGAGCCATTTGGGCTGTAGAGCAAAAAAACTGTTTGGTATCTAGTTTTATTCTTCGCAATAATTAAATCACTGTTTACTTATTAATTTTGCTTTAATAGCAAATAAATTATGGTTTACAATAATTGTTCAACTCGCGAACTCTTTGGAATATTCCGGGAATAGCTTCTACATGGGTACAACTCGCCAGTTTCCTTGCTATCAGATCTTGCTCATTACGAACAGGTGTTTCGTAGACTAAACTTTTCAGTCAATGACCCGACGGTGTAATCTTTGCATTGAAGTAAATGGTCGACATTTTAAACAATTATTCTAAACCATAATTTATTTGATAATAAAGCAAAATTAATAAGTAAACAGTGATTTAATTATTGCGAAGAATAAAAGTATCAAACAGTTTTTTTGCTCTACAGCCCAAATGGCTCATTTGCGGACATATGTTTATATAAACAAAAATGCTTGTTTTGATGTCCCCTACTACCCCTTAAAGTTTGTCGGTATCTTTTTGGGACACCCTGTATATCTGTCTCTTTACGATGACTATGAATAATTGGAAAACGATCAACAAATAACAAAAACACAATAATGGCTTCTGATTAAAATTGGTTTTTGAATCGGATGGTACCTACATTGTACGGTTTCCTTACGTGTTGGAACACAGTAGTTGTATAGTTTGGCAACTGAGAGAAAAGCGTTTCGGTCTCAAGTTAAGGGGGAGATATGGAAATAAACAGTTGCTCGTCGAACTATATGTAAAATTCGAAATTCGTATATAGAGTGGTTCCGAAAAACTGGAACAGACCTTTTGATTCGTATAGTTACTTCTATAAGTTCACTCGCTTTACTTTCGAAAATATAATTAAATATTTCGATAATATACCTGAAGTGCGCAGGCAGTTGAGGGTAAATAAGCAAAGATTTGACAGTACACATATAGTAAAAATGTCACTAACGCCCCCAGCAGCGCGCGCATCTATGTTCTCTCCCAGTTCGTCTCATTACTTTTAACCATAAACGCTGTCTCTTTTTATATACGAGATACGTCACTGATTGCCACTGATTGCTCTATAAAGTTCAAGTTCTTATTATTAGCGGCTCTTGATTTGTCGAAAAAGGGATAACTTTTATGATAACCAAACATTATGCAAATCTCTATCAGCCACCCCAGATGACGTCATCTGTTTCCCATTATTAGACAACCTATTAATTTTGGGAACCTCGAATCAAGAACTATTGAAGCCTCATTGGAATCATTCACAGGAGATTTGTAGGGAATTTAATTGGCTTAAATTTAAGTCTAATTACTTGAGGATCGGATTGAAATTTACTCGAAAATTAGCTCGAAGCTTCCTCTTCACATGCAAAAACTTTCAAATTTTTCCGTTCACTAATTTTCCAGGAAAACTTTGAATTGTGTGGAACAGTATTTTCAATTAATTCAGTTATTGTAAGTTGATTTCCAAGATTCTTTATGTTGTCATTTTCCACTGAAAAAAATTAAAATTCTGAGAAATTGAGCTTCTCACCTTCCTCTTTATATATAATATGGATATTTTCAATGATAGTGTTAATCAATTTACATCTAAGGTTTAATAATACCTACTAACTTAATGGTTGTATTATTGTCAGATAAGATTTTGAACTGTTTTGGTCTATATTACATATTATAATGATAGCTTTCTAGCTATATTAATTATAAGGTTGTAAATGCTTATTTTATTGTAACACTTATAGGGGCTGCTTTATTTACCTTCTGATAAACTGTCAGGTAGTGCAATCACTGCAATCTGTAATCCCATTGGTCGGCCAGTTATCAGCCAAACAATAGGATAAGATCAGTAAATTTATCTTGCTCTTGCAGATAGTTACCAGCAAGTTTATCTGAAGATCAACAAACCATGCCAAAATACCTAAAATTGCTAACATTTGAAAACTTACATGTGGTATATTGTCCTTGCTGAAATTCGTGCTGCCAGTACCACCATGGGATTGCCTTTTTTTGGTTCTACCCAAAAACTCTTTTATATTGGTATCTTGGGAAATTTTATTCAAAAGCTGGACAAATAAATTCAAACAATCCACACTATAAATAGGTATTAAATTAATAAGTACATTGAATAGTGACTAGAACTATTACTTTTTGGCCTGCAAATCATGATATTTGCCCAGAAACGGCTCGGGGTCTTCGATTTTGTCCAGCAAAGGCTGGATCTCGTCCATGTCCATAAGTTGGACCCCAGAGCATGTCAGCGACTGGTTTTGGTCGAGGTTTTTCTGCAAATAGTCGACGACTTCTTGGGGTGCGATTTCGCTGCTACTTTAAAACAAAAATTTTGCTGTAATTTAACTAAAAATTTAAATTTTTTGGAGGAGGCACTTACCTTAAATGATGCAAAATGTTGTCGACGATTTTCTGCAACTCAAACTCACCCATAATTGTTTAAATTAATTATAAATTTAAATAATATTCACCAGACACAAGAAAATAAACATAAACATTTAACAATACATAACCTCACAATATTCAAAACTGTATTCAGTTGTCTAGTGTATGTCTGTCTTTTTCTAACTTACCATGTCGCCTGTGAAAGACAAGGACGAAAAAAAATCGTTTTGCAAGTGAGCCACAGCCACACTCCAAGGTTGTAAGTTTTTATAAAGAAATACCGGTAGTGTGACGTCACTACAGGTGCTAATGTGACCGTATAGAGCATTTATTTTTTACTAGAATTGAATTTTTATCAGATATTTCAAACATTTTCCCCCCAGAATCGCATTTGGGAGCCTGTAGGAGGTCTAGGAGTTACAGTGACTTTGAATATCCAGGATTTATGGATTAAAATCTCTTTCTTTAGCAAAAATATACTTAAGTTAATCCAGATCCTGGAAAAAATGTTTCCTTGTGTATCTTCAAAGATAACTCGAATTTTTTTTCTAAAATCGCATTTGGGAGCCTGTAAAAAATATTTCTAGGCATCACAGTTACTTAAAAATTTCCAGGATTTATGGATTGAAATCTCTTTCATTAGAAAAAATACACTTTGAGTTGATCCAGAGTTTGGAAAAATGTAGAAATGGTTCTTTGTGTATCCTCAAAGATAATTTAAAAATTTTCCGTAAAATCACATTTGGGAGGCTGTAAAAATATTTCTACGAGTCACCGTCACAGTGTCTTCAAATTTCCAAGATTTATGGATTAAAATCTCTTTCTTTAGGAAAAATACACTCCAAGTTGATCCAGATCCTGGAAAAAAATTTGAAATTGTTTTCCTTCTATATCTTTAAAAAGATAATTCAAAAATTTTCCCTAAAACCCCATTTGGGAGCCTGAAAAAAATACTTTTGTAACTTTAAATCTCCAGGATTTTTGGATGAAAATCTCTTTCATAAGGAAAAATAATACACTTTTAAGTTGAATTCAAAAAATTTCGAAACCGTTTTCCTTTGTGTATCGTTGAAGCTAATTTAAAAATTTTCCCTAAAATCCCATTTGATGTTTTGTATTACGACAAAATTACTAACAATTCTTTTCCGAAATCAACAAACCAGAAACAGAAAATTTCCAAGGAAAAAGCGCCAACAAATACAAATTTCCATGTACGAATTCTTCCAATTAAAACTACAGACTACAGAATCAATAATAGATAAATACCATAACGTTTCAGTAATTTTAATGTGTCATAGAATTAATTCCATTGCACACGAGTACGTAAAATCGCTGGAATATTGACGATAGATACCCTTATTTACAGTTATACATTTTCTAAAATTGATTTTATTACAATACCAATACCGAGAAACTTAAGTGTATAGATAATAATTCTCGGAAAAATTACCTCACTTTATGCAGATTCAATATTATAATCATGTAACAGTACCACAAAATGATTAGTAGGTACTTTCTATAATAATAACGCCTCACGCGATTTTAATCTAAAATACCTAATTTCTATACCCACAGAGAGATTGTTTGGTTTATTTATGTATTTATTCCACCACATTCTGAGAAATACGGAACTTTCTACATATTCTCATTATAGACATGAAAACATCTGGCCCTTTTTTTTTTTTCGGCTGCTTTTAGCACGCCCCTTGTTTTCTCGAAAGTCCCTTCGAATAACCACTTCTCGGAAGGGAACAATATAAAAATTTAACACATTCACACGCACGAGACCATATGGCGAATGAATTTTCAGAATTTTCTATATATTTTTTTTTTGGTCGCTTCCAGGAAAATATTCAAATTGTCTGTTTCCTATTGTTAAGTTAAATTGGGTGGAACAATAAATACCATTGACAAAATTGGTTTTCTCAGAATTATAATGTAATTACCTACTCGAGGGCAATTTATTTACTTTGATTAGATTTTTTCTGTGGGAGCATTTGTGGTTTCACTAAGCCGAAATTCGAGAGGCGAGGGAATGTTAACGAGCTTTTTTTAGTTCAATCCTTTTCCACGAAATATAATCTTGTTCAATTTGAAATCCAATTATTTTGTAATTTTGGACCACTGTTTGTTTGTTTGAATAAGTTTCAACAATTTGTCTTTGGTTTTTTTTTTTTTGAAGTTTTGCTCCTCAAGTTTCTCTACAATTGAAATTTTCAAGCAAATCAAGCATAATTTAGACATAGGAGACAATCAAGAGCCGGTGATGATGAAAATTTTGATTATTACTGGCTCTTGATGTGCTCAAAATCAAAATACCTTTCTCTAGGCTCTGGATCAACTTGAAGTTTATTTTCCATAATGAAAGAGATTGCAATGGATATATATTGGAAATTTAAGTATTTTTTACAGGGAAGACCAGAAGTTCATCATACTAAAATTTCAAATTGATCCTGCAGAAAACAACAACATAAGAAATTCCCAAATCAACCTTAAAATACAAAAATATAAGAAACATGCATCTTCGAATATTTTGAGGATTTCTGGAAAAACTCTGTAGAAGGAAAATTTTGAAGTTTTTGGGGTGAGAAGAGGAAAACTAGGAGTTCATCATAATAAAATTTCAAATTATTCCAGTGGAAAACGAGAACATAAGAAATTCCAGAAAATCATTCCTAATATACAAAATTAAGCAAAATGCACCGTATTAAATTTTGAGGATTTCTGGAAAAATCAGAGAAAGGAAAATTTTGAACCTTTCAGGATAAAGAGGAAAAGGCCAGAAGTTCATCATACCAAAATTTCAAATTGATCCTGCAGAAAACAACAACATAAGAAATTCCCAAATCAACCTTAAAATACAAAACTATAAGAAACCTGCACCTTCTAATATTTTGAGGATTTCTGGAAAAACCCAGTGGAAGGAAAATTTTGAAATTTTTAGGGTGAGGAGATTAATATTAGCAGTTCATTATATTAAAATGTCAAACGAGCGCGATAAACACCATGGGTCAATAGTCACTACTAGTCTTGAAACTCACCGTGGCCCCACGTTGGGCGCCAATTTGTAAGATAATTATTAGGGAAGTTGAGTGCACATTCATCAAATCTTCATTAGTTTGCAATAACGCTATTTTATCAACATAATTATACCCATTTTTTTAAATTTTCCTTTGATATTTCAGACAATAATCACTCTACCAGTCTTGAAACTCACCGTGGCCCCACGTTGGGCGCCAATTTGTAAGATAATTCTTAGGGAAGTTGAGTACACATTCATCAAATCTTCTTTAGTTTGCAATAACGCTATTTTATCAACATAATTATACCCATTTTTTTAAATTTTCCTTTGATATTTCAGACAATAATCACTCTACCAGTCTTGAAACTTACCGCAGCCCCACGTTGGGCGCCAATTTGTAAGATAATTCTTAGGGAAGTTGAGTACACATTCATCAAATCTTCTTTAGTTTACAATAACGCTATTTTATCAACATATTAATACCCATTTTTTAAAATATTTCTTTGATTTTCCAGACAATAATCACTTTACCAGTCTTGAAACTCGCCGTGGCCCCACGTTGGGCGCCAATTTGTAAGATAATTCTTAGGGAAGTTGAGTACACATTCATTAAATCTTCTCCAGTTTGCATAACGCTATCTTATCAATATATTAATACACATTTTTCAAAATTTTCCTTTGATATTCCAGACAATAATCACTCTACCAGTCTTGAAACTTACCGCGGCCTCATGTTGAGCGCCATTTTGTAAGAATTCTTAGGGACGTTGAGTACGCATTCATCAAATCTTCTTTAAATTGCAATAATGCTATTTTATCAACATATTAATACCCATTTTTTAAAATGTTCCTCTGATATTTCAGACAATAATCACTCTACCAGTCTTGAAACTTACCGTGGCCCCACGTTGGGCGCCAATTTGTAAGATAATTCTTAGGGAAGTTGAGTACACATTCATTAAATCTTCTCCAGTTTGCATAACGCTATCTTATCAATATATTAATACACATTTTTCAAAATTTTCCTTTGATATTCCAGACAATAATCACTCTATCAGTCTTGAAACTCACCGTGGCCCCACGTTGGGCGCCAATTTGTAAGATAATTCTTAGGGAAGTTGAGTACACATTCATCAAATCTTCTTTAGTTTGCAATAGCGCTATTTTATCAACATAATTATACCCATTTTTTTAAATTTTCCTTTGATATTTCAGACAATAATCACTCTACCAGTCTTGAAACTTACCGCGGCCTCATGTTGAGCGCCATTTTGTAAGAATTCTTAGGGACGTTGAGTACGCATTCATCAAATCTTCTTTAAATTGCAATAATGCTATTTTATCAACATATTAATACCCATTTTTTAAAATGTTCCTCTGATATTTCAGACAATAATCACTCTACCAGTCTTGAAACTTACCGTGGCCCCACGTTGGGCGCCAATTTGTAAGATAATTCTTAGGGAAGTTGAGTACACATTCATTAAATCTTCTCCAGTTTGCATAACGCTATCTTATCAATATAATAATACACATTTTTCAAAATTTTCCTTTGATATTCCAGATAATAATCACTCTACCAGTCTTGAAACTCACCGTGGCCGTACGTTGGGCGCCAATTTGTAAGAAAATTTTTAGGAAAGTTGAGTACACATTCATCAAATCTTCTTTAGTTTGCAATAACACTATTTTATCAACATAATTATACCCATTTTTTTAAATTTTCCTTTGATACAGTGTTGCCACAAGCTCTTTCTTTATTGGGGCAGATTGAGGCAAGATAGCGGGGTAGAATAGAATCAGTGTGGGGTAGCAACAAAAATTTCACCTACGAGCGTGCAAAAACTAGCATTTTACCGCACATACTATGCGGTAAAGTTACTTTACCGCATAGTCTGTGTTAAAATAACCTGCAAAGTGTGCGGTATTTACTTCACCGCGTAGTGTGCGGTAAAGCAGACTGCTTTGCTAATGATATAGCTAAAATTTTATAACACATGCGTTTTTGACGTTGTTAGGTAAATAACTTAATCCTTTCACATATTTTCCTGCATCAATTACCACACAAATTCAAAGGAGACACTCAGAGGAATCTCTAACTGAAGTTATATTTGAGGCGTAGACAAAAAACACGTTGCATAGGTACAGTTCAGATAAAATAAATTGTTTCTCATAATTTGGATTTTGTAAGCAATTTCCGCCATTTAACATAGTGAGTGCGACAAAAACAGGTATCCCCTCCGCAGCAGCGGCACTAGGCTTCACGTTCGTCAATATGTGTTCGCATTCCAGTTTTTGGGTTATAGTTCATTGGTTATAGCATAGATTGTATTTAGAGCGGGGTAGATTTAGTTGAGGGGAGCGGAAGGGCGAGATTGTTTTCAAAAGGGGTAGATCTACCCCGAATGGGGTTGCTTTGGCAACACTGCTTTGATATTTCAGACAATAATCACTCTACCAGTCTTGAAACTTACCGCGGCCTCATGTTGAGCGCCATTTTATAAGAATTCTTAGGGACGTTGAGTACACATTCATCAAATCTTTTTTAGTTTGCAATAATGCTATTTCATCAACATATTAATACCCATTTTTTAAAATGTTCCTCTGATATTTCAGACAATAATCACTCTACCAGTCTTGAAACTCGCCGTGGCCCCACGTTGGGCGCCAATATGTAAGATAATTCTCAGGGAAGTTGAGTACAGATTCATCAAATTTTCTTTAGTTTGCAATAACGCTATTTTATCAACATATTTATTCCCATTTTTCAAAATTTTCCTTTGATATTTCAGACAATAATCACTCTACCAGTCTTGAAACTCACCGTGGCCCCATGTTGGGCGCCAATTTGTAAGATAATTATTAGGGAAGTTGAGTACACGGGAAGAATTAAACGAGAACCGAGAGAGAAAACTGATTACTGTATATTGTTCTTGTATTAAGAAAGAAAACCAAATAAAATTTGCGTTATTGTACTATAAACGTTGACAACTCGTAGATGACAGGACAGTATATCTGGTTGATATCATACAGGTTACCAGCCGATCGGTGACGTGGGGATTAGGGAATTTTATTACAATTTCAAATTAATCCATTGAAAATAACAACATAAGAAATTTCACAAAATCATTTTTAATATACAAAACTAAGAAAAATACACCCTATTACATTTTGAAGAAGGTCAGAAGTTCATCATACTAAAATTTCAAATTTATCCTGTAGAAAACGACAACATAAATAAGAAATTCTCAAATCAACCTCACAAAATAGTCCATGACCACCTTATATCGTTCATAAATTAAATGAATTTATAAAACAATGACTGGGTGATAGTAGTCCATAAGAAAAAATATCGGAATTATTTATGTATCAAGGCCATACTTGATTGGAACACCTGTTTGTAACAATCAATAGATATTTATTATTAACAAACAATTTCCTCGAACCCATTAAATATGTAACCAGCAATTTATAGCTTTCTACGTTATGTGAAAATAAAAGGACCAAAATCTTTATATGGCTTTAGTTCACTAGGTCAATTCTTGGTAATGGAAAGCGGGACCGATTTTCCGAGTAAAATCAATCCCGCTGTTTGCCATATTAAAAACAGACGACGTCTCATCGTATACAGAGTTTGTAGAAGTACTTAACTTTGATGACTGAGTGTCTTCTTTTCAATTTTCATTGGAAACTGATGATTTCAATGAGAAATGGATTTTCTGGGAAGTTTCACTATACAATGTTGCAA